CTCTTTTAATGCAGAACTGATAAGTCAAGTAAGATCTATTTCCTCCGAATTAAATTTTAGAGCTTACGGAGTAAATGTAATTTATGTGACAATGGACAAAGAGAAAAGCAGAAAACTATTTTTAACTATACAGTTCTGTAAGGGGTTTTCTCGCCACAGAGAAAACGGTTCCTTACGAATGACGCTGGTTACGGGCGGTTCTCGAGCGCCAGATTTTTGATAATGGTTTACTCCACAAACTTTCGAAACGGCGTCGAAAGTACTCGGGTAGCTACAGATGGAGATGAAAAATTCCAGGGGTCAAAGGTCACTTAGACACAGGTAATAGTAGGCCACAAGTAACGGGCTTTAATCGTTGCTTGGGCTCGTACAGAATTTATCACTAGCTGAAAATATAAGGGGGAAATAAACTAGGGAATTATTAACCAGTAATACGGCAGATTAACATTGACACATATATTGAAGTTAACTATTTACAATAAAAAGAAAAGATTTAATATTTCAACGCCCACCCCAGTTGTGGTGAAAGTCAATATAACCCTGAATATATATATAAAAAAAAACGGACGGTATTAATTCGCGACTAGTCTCAATCAGACGTCAAAAATTAAATCAAAATAAAATATATGTTTCGGTCGCAGAAAAAAAAATATTAACTTGGCTTTTTACTCGTTAGATAACTGTTTAACCGCGGTATCGGGAATTTAAACTCAAATGTAGTTATTTTGCACTTTACGTGAGGAAAAATTAAATAAACGGTCGAAGAGAGTGCGAGGAGACAGGGACGCGAAATAATTACTTATAGTAAATACACGGAAAGAAAATAAAAATAAATTTATACCCGGGGTAGCCTATTATCCCAGAATGAGCTGATCGTCATCACGAGCCCGCTCCAGACAGGGTAATGAAGCTATTTTTAAATTCTGCAAGTTGCATTTTGCTCGAAAAAAAATGAAGAACATAAAAGGGAAAAATAAATCTAACGCGGATAGCCCCTAGTCCAAGAATGAACTGATCGTCATCACGAGCCCGTTCAGACAAGGACAGGACACTATTTAAAATTATTTAAATTGTCGGAAAAGAAAGAAAAGTAAATTATTATCGGAGGGAAGAAAATTTGCTAACGCGGATAGTACCTACTCCAAGAGTGAACTGATCGTCATCACGAGCCCGTTGAAACAGGACAGGATACTATTTGAAATTATTTAAATTGACGGAAAAATAGAAAAACAAATTATTATCGGAAGGAAGATACTTTACTAACGCGGATAGTACCTACTCCAAGAGTGAACTGATCGTCATCACGAGCCCGTTCAAACAGGACAGGATACTATTTGAAATTATTTAAATTGACGGAAAAATAGAAAAACAAATTATTATCGGAGGGAAGAAAATTTACTAACGCGGATAGTACCTACTCCAAGAGTGAACTGATCGTCATCACGAGCCCGTTCAAACAGGACAGGATACTATTTAAAATTATTTAAAAATTGTGGTTTACAGATTAACTCAAAAAAAAAAAATATGACGCGGATAGCACCTACTCCAAGGGTGAACTGATCGTCATCACGAGCCCGTTCAGACCAGGACAGGATGCTATTTAAGATTATTCAAATATACGGTAAAAGAAATAAACAAATTATTAAAAGAGGGAAAATGTCTCCTCGAAAACTCCGTTTATAAATATTCACAACTTAATTACAACGCGGTACCTACTAAACAAAAGTATTTATGAATAAAGTCAAATTTAAATCCCGATTTAACCTATCAAAAGAAAATGAATAATTTCTTAAAACCGACTAACAATCAAAAGTCTAAAATCCCCGGTTTTACAATATTACAGAATTAAATCCTATAATTTAATATTTAATTCAAATTATATCCCTTGTTAAAGAAACGGAATATTTGTCAAGAAATAAATTCAAATGTTTTTAACTAAACCCTATTTATAAAAACAAAAGAAACGGTATCATTTGCTAAGAAACAAATTCTATTATTTATTATTTAAATCAAATTAATTATTTTAACTAAACCCTATTTATAAAGATAAAAATAATGACGCGGTATTATTTGCCAAGAAACAAATCCTATTATTTATTATTTAAATCAAATTAATTCTTTTAACTAAACCCTATCTATAAAATAAAAATAAAGACGCGGTATTATTTGCCAAGAAACAAATCCTATTATTTATTATTTAAATCAAATTAATTCTTTTAACTAAACAGTATCTATAAAATAAAAATATTCCTATTCCTACAAACTAATTCGCTATTTAAAATGAAATACTGTTTCAATTGCAAATGTAAAAAGCGGAACAGGGTTTTTTACCTAACGGATTCGTAAATATTGAAAACGGAAAAAAATATCGGCGGTGTTTAGATTTCTACTGCGGCTTATCGGACTGAACTGCTGGCAAACAAAATTTCTATCGAACTGATAATTGCTGATAATTTTAATAGCATCTCCGCTATCGTTCAAACAAATGTCCCTCTCCCAATCGAAAATCCCACTTACGTTCAAATCTATCGCGCATCGAGAATTTGAGTGGCGTTCGCGCATCTGAAAATTAGCAGTTCAACCGCGATTAATATTTATTAATAATGAAAAATGAAAATAAATTGATTGAGAAAAATTGACTTCATTACAGTTCACTGGAAAAAAGCAACTGAAGTTGTAGATGTATTTCTGCGAGATGTACAGACAGTTGTCTTTTGTGTCACAGTTTATTCTTTCTCATCTTATTTACATATCTGGTTATTAAGAGCAAAAAATATTTATAAAAAATGTTAGATGAAAAATACCACAGCTAAAAATGAAGTTTATTTTGCAACTTGCAACAAAAACCAGGAGAGGAGAAATCAAATTTGATTTAAAAGAAAGGTTTTAGTTTATTCTAATGGAAACCGGAAACAAACAAATCTATAGCTGTTCTTTTATTCCACATAAGCTCGATTATCACATGATTAAAAAAAATCTACTAGTTCTACTCCGTTCCACGAGGTACTTTTCAAACGTAGCACATAACGTTGGTAAATTTGGATATCTGGATCAAAATTTAAACTATTTGTTAGGTAGAGCTATCAGTTTTCCTCATTTAAATTGCATAATTTATTTTGCATACCTTTCTGAAACTTTGGGAAATGAAAAATAACTAGTATTCGAATCCGTTCGAAGTAGACATGGGCGATAAACACATCTCTTTCTTTTAGATTCCATCAGTTCACTAAAAAATTATTTTCCTTGAATAAAATAAATAAAAATATGTAAATAACTCAGCACATACCACAAAAAGTCTTCGATTAAAAACATGTTTACTGAACAATGTTCATAAAACAGACAAAGGAAAGCACTAAACACAGATTTACTCAATAATTGTTAAAAAATATACAAAGGAAAACACTAAAATACACTTAAATTTGATAAAAAAAAAATCATAAATTACAAATGACTGATCCTGACACATCAAAGCAACACTCGTGACATGACAGTTTTGCCGGTTATAAAATGGCGGCCCTGATCATGCGCAAAAAATTTTGGACCCCAAAAATTGACGTGCCTTCGCTTCTGTAAAAGTATTCTGTGGTAATATTGAGAGGTGGATTGATATTAAATTTATTTAAGTTAAATAGTAGTTTGTTATTATTATATTTGCCACATTGAAAAAATATATGGTCGATAAATAATAGAATTTCTATTTTGATTTCGTCTATTCTTACAAATAAATCATAAATTTTAATCAAACTATATTAAACTAATTTAATTATGACTATTAAAACTAAAATGTTTCTCCATGGACGTGAGACTAGGGCATTTGGCTACTTTACCCGTGTTCAAATCTGGGCTAAAGACTAATTAAATTAAATCTTTTTTTTTTTCATGTTTGTTTTATTTTATAAATTAGTAAAAGTTATAAATTATTTTAAAATTAGTTATTTTTTTAAACTTAAATAATTAAAATTTATGTTAGTGGGTCGTAGAAAAAATATATTGCACAACTCGAGTGAATTGTACATATCCATTCTTGCTGCACAAACTACTATTCTAGTTTACTGGAAGCAATATCTAGGTATGCTTTTACAGGATTAATAAAAAAGTACAGGGTGATTCAACAAATATTGTTTTTTTTGACACATTCGATAAACTAACTATTAATCTATTTAGTAAATCATCCTATAGTAAATGAAATGGATAGTCATACAGATGTCAAAAATATATCAAATACATAATATTAATATAAAAATACGGCCTTTCACATTAATATAATAAAAAACATATTGGGCTACGTCGTTATTTACCAATCACTCGGTGTAAACGTTATATAAAATATTTATACCCACATGGATATTATCTATCCTACTAACGGACTACAGAACGAAATATAGACCACAGCCTACTGAACGGATATAATTTGATATCCTTTCTAACACTGTACTCATATGAAATCCACCAATCACAGTATATTTTTTAGTTATTAAGGTTAAATATAATTACAAATGAGTGATTCTTGTGAAGAATCGACAAATAATAGCATTCCACCAGATATTCGTCTATATTTACAAATAAATTGTAATAAAAAAAATAATCAGTAATAAAAAAAATTGTTAGTCTCGTTAGTGCATTGGTAGCGTACTGAGTTCCTATGGGAAAGGTCCAGGGTTCGAGTCCATGATAAAGACTAACTAAAATATTTTTTTAAGTTTACTTTAATTTATAAATTGGTAAAAGTTACAAAATATTTTTGAAATAATTATTTTATCTACATAATCTATAAATTTGTTTTTTAAATTTTTGTAGATTTTTGTGGGTCGTAAAAAATATATTGTATAACTAAAAAATCACTAGATACTATTCTGAAATTACTTTTTATTTTTCATTTAATTTTATTGTAGGAATTATCAACCTTATTATCCTATATATTGGAAAAAAATAGGTATGCCTAATTTAAGCGATTTGATTTTAAAAAAATACGTCTATGTTTTATGTAGATTTAACGAAAACAGAAAATACATCAGATCACTCATTTATAAAAATATGTATTTATTAATAGATGCTTGATCCATTTTATATTAATTATAAAAATCCTTATGGATATTGAAATACAGGACACTAAAACAAAAATATAAAAATTATTTAATTTAACTGCTTAAACCTTAATAAATACCTCGGAATCTTTTTCAATATAAGCTAAGCATTTCATATATTCGCTAGCAATTTCACATCTACTTTGGTCCTTTTCAACCACAGTTCGCTCTAAAAAATACATTTATAAATTTAAAATATTGCTAATGAATTTCTTTATTTAAAAGAAACCAAATTAAAAAAAAAACTATCCAAACTGTTTTGCCATATTTTTAAGAAGCATGCAGATCTCCGCCCAATGAGTTGGTACAAATGAAATTGGTACAGTTGGGAAAATAATGCTACCTATTTTAAACTAACAAATCCTGAATTATATCTACATGGGTCTCCGCTTCCGAAGATCGTCAGCAACAATCCTTGATAATGCCAGCAAAGATATTACATCAATCAAATAACATGGCGACAAGCAAAGTCGCTTAAAGTTATATTGACGATTCAAAGAAGAATAAATTAAAGGAAATAAATGCCAATTCTCAACTGGGCCAATTTAAAAATAAACAACTAATGAAAAAGAGAAAAACTCACTCTTTGAGTTTTTTCATTGTTGTTTATTTTTTGGAATAAATTAGATATTTCCAATACAATCAATGGATCCATAGTTAACTGCTGACTGCAAACAAGTGGCACGTCGTGTGTTGTTCTAGCTATTTGTAGTTGGGTACAGAAGAGGGGTAGGGGTGAAAAACATGTACTATTGCCCAGTGGTGGGAACTGTCGTGTAACCTTTCAAATTCAAAGTAAAGTTGTTAACGGTTAAACGCAGTTTTTCTGAACTTAAGATGATATTGCGACGAAAGGGTTTTGATATGCAAAAAATTAATCTTGAAATTGGTGTAAAATCGGAACCAAAAGTTGAAAAGAGGTTTAGTTGGTCTTAAAATCTTCTGTTGGCCATTTTGTTTTATATCAACCCTCTCGCCGATACCAAAAAAATGCTATAATATCATCCTAGATTCAGAAAAAACGCGTTTAAGCTATATCCCGAATTTCATTGAAACACGTAAATATCCCGTCACGTGGCCAAAGTCCTTACACCAGAAGTAGCAAAACCGGACGACAGAAAATGCTTGCAAAACGATTTTTTTTGATAAAGGCGTCTAGAAGCATATATTTCATTGCAAGCAAAAAACGAAAAATACATCGATATAAGCAACTTTACTTTGAATTAGACAAATCACACGACAGCTCCCAGCACCGGGAAATAGTACAAGTTGCTCACTCCCCTCTGTACCGTCTGTATCCAACTACAAATAGTAAGCAAAACATTACTATTACTATTAAGTCTGTTTTGGTTCACCTTTTAGAAATTTTCCTGAACCATACGTAGAACTGTTGCGCAATGGTCCTTAATTCTGAACAGTTCTGTAACCATTCCATTTTTACTCGAAACCAAAACGCTGCTAGAACAATTAAATGCCAAAAAGTAAATTATAAATTAAAAAGAAAAAATAGCTCACTGATCCTGTGTCTAAGTAAGAAAGAGGTCATATAATATTGTAAAACGTAGATAAAATAAATAATTTATTCATAAAAAAAACTTATAACTCGACATCAACTAATCAACTGCTCCATTCTCATTCGTCATTCAAAAATTCCTTGTAAAATTCCAACACAAAACATGACCCAGAGTCCCGGATCCCAAAAACAAAACTACTTGCAAAAAGCGCAAGCGCAAACATATCAATTCTAAAACAGTTCTCGCTTTGGGCCAGAACCGAAGTTACTGTTCGAGAATGTTTATAGTTTTGTTTTGGTTCACTTTCGTAACTGTTCTAGAACTCTTCCAGAACCTTTGGAGCATGCGCAGTAGATATTAGCTGTTTTGGTTTCGCCAGAACTGTTCCGAACATGTAAGTTCTGTGTTTTAGTTTTTCTTGAGAATGGTTCCATAACCATTCTCGAACAGTAACGTCGGTTCTGACCTAAAGCGAGAACTGTTTCAGAATTGATATGTGTGCGCTTGCGCTTTTTTTGCAAGTAGTTTTGTTTTTGAGATCCTGGCCATGTTTTGTATTGGAATTTTTACAAGGAATTTTCGAATGACTAATGAGAATGGAGCAGTTGATTAGTTGATATTGGGTCATAAGATTTTTTACGAAAAAATTATTTAATTTATCTACGTTTTACAATAATATGTGGCCCCTTTCTTACCTATACACTGTGTTATTTCTTTTTTTTTTTATTTATAATTTACTTTTTGACATTTAACTGTTCTGGCAGTGTTTTGGTTTCGAATACAAGTGGAATGGTTACAGAACTGTTCAGAATTAAGGACCATTGCGCAATAGTTCTGCGCATGGTTCTGGAACAATTTTAGAACGTGAACCAAAACAAACCTAATGAAACCATTCCTAAGAAAAACCAAAACACAAAACTTACAGGTTCGGAACTAGTTCTAGCCAAACCAAAACAGCGAATATCTACTGCGCATGCTCCGAAGGTTCTGGAAGAGTTCTGGAACAGTAACGAAAGTCAACCAAAACGAAGCTACTACTAACACGACCTGGCGAATGGACTTAGTATCCGTAGCCAAGGAAAACCTAAATTTAATCACACACAACACGACCTGCCACTTTTTGCAGTTAGATGAGGGACTGTTACCATCTGCCCCATCACCGAATATTGTTGAAAATAACCTGAAAACATCAATAGAGTGCCTATTAATATTGTTCATTCAATTACAGTATCTTATTTTGAATATACTTATTTTCCACGAGTGTGATATGCTGCAAATAATTAATAAAAACGAATAAAAAATGCAGCAGCGAATTATATTTAATATGTGCATACAGGGTTGGGATAAAGTATGGAATCAAGTAAATATCTTTAAAACGAAAAGGAAGATATTTACGAAACTTTGCAGGCAAGTACAATGACGCATAACGCATCTGATGCCATATTTTTTGTTACTACTGTATCCCGGTTTCACCGGAAATACCCTCAACTCTTTTAATTTAAAAGGGACACCCTGTTTTTTTGCAGCTTTTTAAAGATCTTGTACGACACTGTACGAATTTGGAAGAACAAGATCTTTTAAAATCTGCAGATATACAGGGTGTTCCTTTTAATTTAAAAAAAGTTGAGGGTATTTCCGGTGAAACTGGAAGTAAAGTAGTAACAAAAAATATGGCATCAGACGCGTTATGCGTCATTGTTCTTGCCTGCAAAGTTTCATAAATATTGTTCTTTTCGTTTTAAAGATATGTACTTGGTTCCATATTTTATTCCAACCCTGTATCCAAAAATAGAACTATATGTATATCTGTATGACATTGAAATTGCAACACCCAGTAAATGTGAGTATATTTTAATAATATTTTGAGAAGTTATTGAGATTAATAGGAATAATAATTATAATCGATGAAATTTTGAATCAAATTTATTGAAAAGAATTCATAAAAAATTAGTAATGAGTTGTGCCTCCAAGTAAGTTTTGACACTCTGCAACTCTTCGTGCCTGAGGTATGTTCTCCCAGGTTAATCTAATTTCGTAACTTAGTCGGTCTACATCCATTATAAGAGCTTGTTCAATGGGCGATAAGTCAGGTGAACTTGCAAGCCATGGAAGTGTGGTTACATTAGCTTGTCAAAGAAAATATCTGGTAAGTCTAGCGGTGGTGTTGTCTTGCTGAAATATGGGGTTTTGCAGTTGCTGAAGGTATGGCAACGCAACAGGTTGTAACACGTTATTAATGTATGGTCGTTTATATTTCTGCCAAAAAATACTAGTGGTGACCTGCTTAAAATTGCCTCGGCACCCCATCCCATAACGCCTTTGGTAAGCGCAGTTTAACGCTCCATGCAAAATTGAAGTTGGAGTCTTTCTTCACATTTTCGCTTAACTCTTACGACCAACATGAGCCCACAAGCATTAACGCGCGACTCGTCACTGAAGAAGACCCGATCCCAATCCTTATTCCATTGAGCCCGTTCATTCCAGCCTTCCGTAGACCTACTATCCTACCTCAATTAAATTCACTTAATTGATGATACACGGCACGTCTTCTTATGAGAGGCATTGCTAAACAATGTTTTAAATACCATAAAAGCAATAAAAATCAATGTATCTCAACAAAAATAATAAACACTATTAAATTTGTTTGTTAAATAAATTGGGGCAAAAATTTTATCGTTTAGTACACTTCATGTGAGCAATAAATTATCAAAAAGTAATAAATATATCTGAGCTTATGGAGGGTGTTGCAATTTCAATGTCACGCAGTATATTTCTAAACAACTTAATAAAACTGGGAGTCACTTTACCTCTAAATATTACTTTTCTTTTTTCTTCGGAAAATAAAAACTTTCCTAATAAGTTAGTCGATTGTATAAAAAATCTAAGATTAAACATTTACACTAATTTTAAATGATAAAAACATTTTACCACTTCTATCTTTTGGTAATGCAATTAAATTAAACTACCACTGTATAAGTAATATCAATAAATATGAAATATTCTGTGACAAATGGAGCTATTCCGATGCCAAACTAACAAAACTATAGCAGCTTGTTACAGCGTGTTATAGCCGTAAAAAAAGTATAGCATACTATAGCATTCAACTAGCAAGGAATGAGTACCGTTTTTTACCCGTACAATAATAAAGCACTATTTATGGATGTGTACGAAATTGCCTTAAAAACAATAAGTAATATGTGATTTTGTGTAGTGGTTGCCAAAAAAAAAAAAAAAACATTTCTAAAGTAGGCTATGGAAAAAAACACACACAATTTTTGTCTCTTTTAAATTACGGTTTGTATTTAATTGAGGCGTGCGTAGTTATCACGGATATGATTCGCACCTCTGCCTTTGTCGATCATGGCCTATTTTAGAAACATTTTTCGTGAATCACTTGTTATTAGGTATTAAATTAATTAACTCACCCGATGTTCCAACGTTATCAGCTAGAAACTGTTGCTTCGTTCCTAAAACATTAACATTCACAGTTTTTTATATAAAAAAAAATATTCTAATGTATCATTGTCAATGGTGTGCGTTCAACGCTCAAGCAAGGAGATTTGTTCTTGTTTCGTCAATTCGTGATTCGTCACCTGACCCAAAATTTCTTGTTTCGTCACCTGTACCTATTTTACCTTCTCGCAGGTAATAATGTATTCCGCATTCGTCAACTGGGACTAGTAGAGTCATAAAAGTCCGTAAACCTAATTTCTTTTTAATGTTTATATTATTTATAATATTTATTGTAATAATTAATAATGTTATAAAAAATAAATAAAAAAAAATATAAATTCAATTTTTGTTTAAAAAAGTGTCTTTATGGTAAACAATAAAAGGTATTTTCTTAGGAAACCGTTTGGCCACCTCCCTTCACACTCAAAAAGTTAAAAATTTTAATATATTAAAAAATAAAAACTTTTTACTTCGGCGTGTTTAAAAGTTAATTTCTTTCTGACGAATTCGTCATTTATATACATGTAATTATTTACAGAGTTTAATTTGCCGTCCTGGCTTCGTCAAATATATTATTTTCCGATTATTCGTATTTAAAAATGTACGTTAGTTTTGTCAAAGCATCCTCTAAACTTACACGATTTTCAAGAAATTATTTAAGAATATTCTTAATTCTCGCATCCAAATCACAATATTTCTTTGCCCTTTTAGGAGTTGACATGAGTATATCTTCTTTTTTCACGAAGATCCTATAATGATTTGAGTCATCTTCAAGAATTTTTATTAATTCATATGTATTAGGATGACTTTTACCGACGGTTCTGTTTAATTTATTGTGCCTACCTTCAACTGTATTTGTGGTACGATATCTGTTGTTATAACATATCCAGTGTCTGTCGGCGTTTAACCAGACTTAAAAAAAAGTCATTAAATTTTATAACTTTTTCGTTTTCTGGCGAGGAAGCCATGATCTGAAGCCATCCTTCATCTGTCCACTCCGGAGGTAAATGTGATAAAGCGGCACATATTCATATATACTTTCGAACAATTTCATCTTCTCTATATTCAATGGCAAGTCCCAGTTCTTGAGCTTTTCGCCAAATGGCTTGGTTAAAATGAAAATTGCATCCTTTAATTTTCACATCTGGAAAAACTTTTGGCATTCCATTTATAGCAGCCATCTCAAAATCGACATGAAATTCCACTGGACTGAATTTAGAATTTAGAAGTCACTTCTTTTCTATTTGGTAATAAAGCAAACGCAAGTTTTTCCTTATGTACTACCAAAGTCCATATAAATGGTGTATAATTGTTCAAATAAGGAAGCACAACTCTTAAATGTTCCGACTCCAAAAAAGATTCTACCATGCTCTAGTTCACGTCCACATTCAGCAGCAAATATAAGTATCCTGTCGTCCGATTTATTGTCAAATAAAAGGAAATGTTTTTATTTATTTGAAATGACAACATCTTTGCGGTGTTTAGGCAAACTATTAATGCCAAGAAAAGAATGTCTAGCATGATACAACTGCTGCTTTACTGAAGAAAAACTGGTAATTTGAGTTACAAAGTCAAGATCCTTGTCTACAGCTTTATTCATAACTTCTTGCTGATATATTTGGGTTACTGGTAAAATTTCTTCACGGAACCTTTTCTTGGCATTGAACAAGGCTGTTTCTACTTCATTTTTTGCAACATCTGGTGCACATATGTAATGTACTTTACTTTTCAATACTGTTGTAATTGTTTTATCGGTTATCACACTTCCAATAGATTTTCGTTTTACACAAGTCCAACAAGTCACTATTTTGATAAAACTTCCTTTTGTGAAATTTATAACCTAAGTAGAGCACCACTGGCTTTCCTCTTAGGTACCCCGGACATCTAAAATTTCGAATCCTGTATCAGGTAAACAGTATTAATGCAAACTTTCCCAATTTCTAGACTTTATTTGGAATCGAATAGTTTAAACCGTATTTAATTATTTTTAAAATAATAATAAAAAATGCATATTAGAAGCTTCTTAATCACTAGCGCAGGTGCAAAAATGAGGTGACGAAACAAGAACACTTTAAGCAGGTATATTTTGCAGTTGACGAAACAAGAATAAAATGGGTCATAACAGGTAAAATTTCCCTAGGTGACGAAAGATGAATTGACAGAACAAGAAACTACCAATCAAGGATGATTAAATGTTACATTTACAAAGTAAAATATTTTCGTCGTTAAGAGTGAATGTGATGGTTATACTGATACGGACAATACTCTCAAAGTACACACTATATTTTTTTACGACCCACTAAATAAATATAAAATGTATTAAATTATTTAGAGTACAGATCATCAAATTTCTAGAGGCTTTCGACGGCTAGACAGAGAAAGCACTACTGACAGGCATCCCGACGGATTTACGCAATGAAAGTACACTCTGCGCATCAAGTATTTCACTATTTCATTCAGACGTAAATGTCAGATGTAAATTTCGCTAAAACATTTCTTTTATTTTCGTTTGTGTTTTTTGCTCATTACAGTTTAATAAAACCTAAGTATGGAGTTTAATAGCAAATTAAGAGGCCGCGTGATTAACAGTCAATCTCGCGAAATAATAGCCAATGTTATAGAGTTTATGAGAAGAGAAGGAAACTTTAATTCACCTTCAATACCATTTAAAAATGTAAATGATCGTGTTGCTGCAGCCACAGGAGTATCTAAAAACACTGTCGTCCGCATTTCTGGAGAGAAAAAAAGAATCGATAACCGTGAGATATCGGAATTTCCATCACCAAGAAAAACCATTAAAAAACCAAAAACAGTTAATGATATAGATGAAGCTGCACAAGAATCAAATTTTATTTTTTTATTATTAGATAGCTATTTTTGTTTCTGAGTTGTGTTCATTTACAGGCTCAATTTTTTTCCGTTTCTCCTTTTTGATTTTATATGGGGTTTCAAGTTGTTTTTGACTTATTTCGACGTAAATCACAACAACACACTTTTTTAATAAAGCAAACAAGTGTTAAGAGGTATATGTACGTGTAAACTACAATTACAAAAAATTGATATGAAACCCATGAAACCACCAACAAAAATGTAAAGCTAGCTTCCGTACTAGAACATGGTGTCATTCGTCGAGATAATGTATCGTTTTGTTTAATAGATCAAGAAATGTAAATATTCCCCTGTTATTTTTTATAAAATTATAAGAGAAATAAATTTTTTTCTAAATAGTATAGTTTATTATTTTGTAGAAAAACAAAATTTCGAAAATTTTAGTAATGTTTCAGAAACAACCGTTATTAATAATAGGTACCATTTTCCTTAATAAGGTAGAAATAAAATATAAACTATTTCCACGATTTACAAAGGCCTACAAAAAAATTATAGGTATTTTCCGCTATCCTATAAAATTTATATTTTCTGACTCAATTTCAAAAGGTTGAAGGAATTCCAAAACACCTTTTATGGCATAATAATTATTTTCAATTCTACATACTATCTTTAGCTGCTTTTAAAAACGTTCTAAGAAAGTCCAATCAGACCAATTTAATCCCTAAACTATTTCACACTTTTAAAATTTAATTACCTAAAAATATTAAAAACTATTTAAAATAACTTGTTTAGCAGACTGTACAATAGCTATCTTAGTCACACGTAGCGCGTTCTCTGTCTGAGCGTCGAACACTTCTAGAAATTTGATGAACTGTAGAGATCCTCAAAGTGGTCGATACCGACCCCTTTGGGGTCGAAATCGGTTTCCCATCGGTCAAATAAACAAAAACTGATTTTGGGGGTCGGCGAGGTCTGAAAGTCGACCCCTATTAATTAACACAAGTTCTTATTTGAAACTTTCAAGATACTGTATAAATTATGTTAACGTGCACCAACTTGTTATAATAATGACTAAAATTTTAGGGTACTTTGTTGTACTTTTAAAAAACTCAACAAGTCGATAACCGTGCACAAATTCGTACAAGATGAAAAACTCAGCAAGTCAATAAGCATGGACAAGTTCGTACAAGTCTTTCAGGCACGTTTTGACTTTCTCTGTATTTGACGCATATACGCGATTTAACACGAACGAAATCATGATCAAGTTCAAGTCCAAACATGCTCCTGATTTTTTACTATATAGCAAGCTTGCAATTAGGTTGAAATTTCATTTGCGTTTTAAAATTCGTTGGAGATTAATTGATATTACACTCATCTACTAATTTATTTTCAAAGTAATTACATAGGTAAATAGAGTGAATTAAAATAAAGTGATTGAAGAATAATTTCATCCCATCTTTCCTTGAATTTCACAAGTGAATGATCTTTAATTAGGTCTGTCACTACCGATTTTGTCCAGTCAATAGAAGGGCCGGGTCCAAAAAGTATTTGGTTGGCTGCTTTCTTGGCCAGTGAATCAGCAAGACGGTTACCTTTCAATGTGGCGTGACATTTGATCCATCTTAAGGTGACCACGTTGTTGATGGATACTTCGGCCAAAGTTTCGTGACATTCTTGTGCTAACCCTGAGTTAATTCGTGGTCTGTTTAGGGTAAGTAGTTCTTGTCTGCTATCTGTATAGATGAGCATGTTCCTTCCAGTGATATTGTTTCTGGGGATTTCTTTTGCTGCTATGAGAATCCCCGTGAGCTCTGTTTGAACTACACTGGCACTATTGCTCACAACTCATTTTATGTTTAGGTTTAAGGCTCTTCTATTTGCTTTGTTATAACTTTATATGGCGTATGGAGGATATAACTCAGTGAGATGGAATCCACGTTCGCTTGAAGCAGTGGGAGCGTATCGAGCGTCTCCCGCTAAAAGCCACGTCTCGCCTCATAAGATTTTACATCAGGTTCTATTCCAACCATGTGGAGGCGTCATTGTCCTCAGAGCAACCTTCTTGATGTAAATATCAAGGGGAATGAGACTAAGAATGACTTCTACGGCTTTAGTCGGTATTGTTACTGATAGCTGTCAATTTTTGGGTTTTCGGTACCCAGATAACTGCACCGTATGTTAGCATAGGTCTTATGATAGCCGTGTAAGTCCATGCAACGACTCTGGGTGAGAAACCCCAGGCACAGGCCTGTCACTCCCTATACTTCCCATGTTAAATTCTGGCTTAAGTCTCAATGATTTCGGCACCTCTTCCCTATTGGTCTGGGGTATTTTTGACAAGTCTGGGGTCACCAATCAGCACGTTGGTTGCTGTCAAATGAGAAAAATGACATCTAAAAGTAAAAAATATTCAGATTTTAAGCCACTTGAAGACAAAATTAGTGTGGTTATAACAAAATTTATGTTTTTTTGGTTTTGAAAGTAATATTGACCTCGATGCCTCCTCCTTATTGGTCTGGAGTATTTTTGACAAGTCTTGCATCACCAATCGGAGCGTTGGTTGCTGTCACATGAGAAAAATGACATCTAGAAAATTAATTATTATTTTTGCAGTTTTTTACTTCACAAATCTTCATGGTGTAATTTGTATTAAAAATACAGATTTATAACAAAATTTGATCATAAATAAATGTTTGAACCAAAAAGAGAAATGATCAGAAAGCTAGGTTATAGATTAGATACATTTACCCACGTAAAATATTTTAAATTTTCAAGGTCACAGACTTTCAGATCGATTGAAATTTGAGTGCGATCTTTTGTGTTAACTATAATCTTTGCCACAGGTGCGCCTCACGGTTCGGCAGCATTGTTCATAAGCAATGTGAGGAAAACGACGAAGTCTTTACTTGGTTACTTCTACACACTGAAGTTCGCTGGCTATCAAGATGCTCCTGCTTGCAAGATTTTCAGCTATTTTTGAATCTGTCTTTAAGACGATGTTATTTTATAAAATGTCACTTACTTGGCCGCATTACACAAGGATTTTACTAAGATGTTTGAGGATCTCTTAAATTTACAAGTTCCTCAATGGATAATAAATCCGTATAATATCACAGCCATGGAAGAAGCCAATGTAATAATGCAAGAAGAGTTGATCACCATCAGCACAGAGGAGGAGCTTAAGCAGAAGTTCAACCAAGGCTATCAGAAGTTCTGGTTGCAGAGCAACATTATCCTGTATTTTGGAACATTGCTAAAATATCTTATCGCTTTTCCATCATCATGCCTAGTCAAAAAGAGCAAAGAAACCGTTTGAAAATCAAGGAACGCGGAGATTTATGGCTGTAACTCACCAATATTAGATCACACTGAACTTTTTATTTTTTTATCTTTACTTTGGGATTTTAGCCAAGTATCGGCCATTTTTGTCCATTCTGACAGGACATTGGATTGCCTAATTACACTTGGTATTTACTTAATTTTGTGTCTATTTATTTTGTTAAAATTTGAAGAGAAAATGATGTCAAGTTTACTCACTTAACCAACCGCAAAGTTTTTAAATTGGTATTTTGTATCAATAGGAAAAAACTAGAAATATGATTTTTAAAGTAATTTGGCTATGGGAGTCTGAGGTATCAGTTCATTTTGGAAAAGAGATCTCTTGTCCAAAATAGTTTGGGAATCCCTGATTTAGAGTTTATTAATTTAAAATATTTAACTATTTTAAAAATAAAGAACACAAAAATTAAATTTTATGACTTTTACCAATTCATAAAATAAAATGAACTTGAAAAAAGAACATCACCATGGATTTGAACCCCGAACTTTCGTACGAGAATGCATCACCACAACTTTTGCGCTATCAAGTCATATAGTAGAGCGATGTTTAATGAGTCGAACTCGGTGAATATGATGATTCTGTTATGGAATTTGATAATACTTCTCCTGAACTGACAAATTATGCAAATGATTTAAGCAGAAATATGTCTAACATAAGTTAGATTAAATATTTCATTTTGTTCAAAGTTTCACTTTACTATATTCGACTCCTACTGTGTCTATGGCAGTGAAGAAAATACAGTCCACTACTTTGTTACAGAATATACTATTCATATTTGTGGGGTGTCTTAACCTACCAAATACTGTTTTTTATATATATACAAAAAGAAATCCACTTGCTCCAATGTGGTTCTTAAATAGTAACACAATGATACATCACACTTTTTAAAAATTTATGTTTTACATCCTTTGGATGAATCAGTTTGTAGCATGGCGGCACTTCTTCCTGCGGCTTATTGTACCACCATCTGAAAGTCCTAGTACTTTTCCATTCACCAGTTCACTCACTCATTCATCATCATTTATTCCACGTCGACGATGGTAACACTCTGGTCGGCCAAGTCCCTTGGTGACACGGCCCATGATGGAACGTCCCAGCCGTCACTCATCCGCGACGTTACAGGAGGGTCATGATCAAAGTCTTTTAAATTACTGCTTATTACAACTTACCTAAAGATGTACCCAATTCTCCACTACATGACTGAATCCTTTCTAACAACGTTACTGCCTGGTCATATTTAACATTCTTTTTAACCCATTTGGACGTCCTATCTATGCACGGTACGTCATAATCAGGATTTAACTACAAAAAAGTCATCGTATCATGTATTATAACATTTTATTTGTAACTTTCACTCACTAAATTCATTTCGCTGAAAATACAGTAATAATAATCACATTTTTGTGGTTTTTGAGTTTCCTCAACGTCAATTCCTATTGTTTTCTTTGCAAAATTTACGATTGTTTTATGTGCGTGTGATATTCTTTCTACCATTTGAACTTTTGTAGCCCAACAAACGTCTTCGGCTCCAAGGATGTAACGGGATCTTTCACAATCGGCCGATACCTGTCAAAAGAAAAAAAAAGTCGGATAATTTAAAATGATTTAAAATTGAAGATATACCAAACACATTATATTTAAATAATAATGTTTATTCATTTCTACAAATTGTATAAATTTTTAAAATAACAAAATATATGAGTAACTATTAAGGTGTGAAAAATAAAATAAATAAGACTCCTGCCAATTAGAACAGGTAGGTTGAGCATGGTCAATATAAGTTTATTTTTTTTTCAATTTCCTGCCTCTTACAATATTTTGTATACAGAAAAATAAAAGACAAAGTATTTAAACACCTAGTAATAATTCTAAAACACTATTATTACCCAAGTTCATTAAATATACATTACATCATTTTAACTTATTAATTTTAATTTATCATGCGTGACTCAATCATCAGACTAACCTCTCCAAAAGAAGTTGCAAAATATATAAAAACAAATATTATTCATACGAAAGCGCGTGGCTTTAATTTAATTACAAGAGAAATTTTAAAACAACTTCCGAAGAAAGCCATAATTAAACTTACATGCCTCATTCAAACTAAGGTATGTCCCTAGGTTGTAGAAAGTAGCTGAAGTCATTATGATCACCAAACCAGGAAAAACCCCTAACGAAGTTTCGTCATGTGTGCCAATATTTCTATTGCCTTTAATATCGAAACTATTTGAAAAAATACTAATGAAAACAATGAAACTTTAGAGAAAATCATTCAACTATATATCAGATTCATAGAATCTCAAATACGATTGAAAAAGCATTAGAAAACTAAGAAGTCAGTTCAGTCATCTTCCTCGATGTTGCTCAGGTTTTTGATAAAGTATGGCATGATGGCTTAAAACATAAACTGAATGTGCTACTTCCACAGCCATACTTGGAGCTACTGGATTCATACATTTCAGATATACTCTTTAGAGTAAAACAATATGAAGCATACTCTGATTTAAAAGAAATTAAAGCATGAGTACCACAGGAAAACGTCCTGGGACCCACTTTGTATCTGTTATATACTTGTGATGTCTGGCAACCCTATGCATACATCCTCGTTGCATACAACTAAATATATGTTTTTAAGGGCAAGGAATGGATTAAAATGAATTATAAAGTTACCTGACTAATGTTTATTAAAAAAAATCAGTTGTTTTATATGTCAACTAAAAATATGAACACAAATAGAATGCAATATATTTAGAAAGTGGTATGTGCACTACAATATAGAAAAAGTATACACTATCATGGAAAACTGATTAACTAACCTACTTTTTACTCAGTCTATCTTTTACAAGGTTCATCACATTTTCAATACTCTCTGCATGTCAAATATAGCCATTTACATTTACACCTACTGGTAACACATGCTGTACAACTGCACTGTATTAATAGTTCAGACGTCATATTTTAAGACACAGATCAGACTTTTAGAATACCATTTGCATCTTTGCACCATTCATAATCTCTTAGCTGTAAGCTTGAAAATAGCTTTGTGATATGCTTTGTGATGAAACAAAAAAGCGTCTCCAGATATGTGAATTTCTTATTGAAAAAGATAAATCCTTATCTACCATCCCAATGGTGTAACTAAATCTGATGGCGCCGGTTGGCAAGAGTTACTTTGGCGCCTTAACTCTAGAGAAAAATCACAATTTGAAAGAAGTAACTTTTTTACTTAGGTATATAAAAAACTTATATATAAACTTGTTTTAGATTTATTTTTTCAATACTTTGATCGTTAACAATTATAATTATTCTACTTTATTTTCATTTTGATTTCGGTAATATTTATGATCGCATAATAATAAAAATTAGTGTCCAGTTAAGTTGATATTTCATATTTTTAATAAATTATAAAAAGGATATCAGGCCTTAATTTTTTTAACAAAAAGCCATATTTTCTCTTAATTTATGTTCTTAATCCTTAATCTTAGAATCAGAACATACTAATACCTTTAGGTTAATATTACTAACAATTCAAAATAACCAGAAAAATGAACCCAAGTGATCCTCGAACCCTTGACAACCCAATAAATTACTCGTTTTGGACATGGCATAGTGCACACTAATATCTACTAAAAATTAACATTTTCTATAACATAATATATATAGAAAAGCTTCTTGCGGTTCAAAAAGTCAATTAATTTATCAGTTTTATCAATTTTATTTTTTTAAATATTGTTCTAGACGCAAAAAACGTAGGACAATTTTGGCAGTTTTCTTTAGAATTCTGCATTAGGATACCATTTTAAATTTAAAAAATAATACTACTACAAATAAATGCATAGAACCATAATTTTTGATCTTTTTAAAATATTTTTCTAAAATAAATTCTGATGCCTTGGTAGGATTCCCCACTCGACCATTCACTGTTGGGTTCTAATTAACAGTACTGTTCCTAAAGTGGCGCAAGGAAACAGTAACAAGGCCTGTCTGTAATGGTGTAGGAGAGTATTAGAGTACTAATACTCCTGCACTATGGAGTATTAGACTACTAATACAATCCATGACCAACATAGAATGCCAGGTTAATGACCTTAGTTGTTAAAGCCAAAGACACCAATAAAAAAAAATATTTTTCTATATTTATTTTTCATATATTTTTAGAATAATACTGTTCAGGTTTTTGGTAACTCAATTTATTTCAACTCATCTTTTACAATTGAACTTATAACGGATAACATGAAAGTATAACGTCTTTAACCTTCTCAAACTATCCGGATATGGTAGCCGTGCGCCATACCATAAAATTGTTGATTTTGTAATAAAATATAAGGCTTCTGTTAACAATATACAGAGTGGCCCAAAAGTCTGAAAACGGCCAATTATCTCGTAAATTGCTGGTCCTAATTGTACAAAATTTGAGGTACACCTATTATGCGATATGGTGATTTCAGATTTGATATTTGCAATGTTGCCAGATTTGCCGTTTCTTCTTCTCTGTAACGATACAGTTTGAGAATCTTTTTTTGACTTTATATGGTCCTTCATAAGCTAGTTTGAGAGACGTCCTGATTCCCTCAACTCTGACAAAAACGTATTTACATAAATTTAATTCAGGATACACAAAAGGTTTTTCCTTACTATGATTTGATGTTGTTGTCGGTTTAATGTTCGCAAATAGTTGTCTTAGGTTAGATAATAAAGGATAAATGTCAAGGGCATCATTAGAATTAACGAAAAATTCACCGGGTAATCGCAGAGTTAGTCTGTATACGAGTTCAGCTGAAGAGCAATGAAGATCCTTTTTGACTATAGCTCGTAAACCTAGTAAAATTAAAGGAAGTTCATCTTTCCAGCCATTTGTATTACATCTAGCTATTAAGGCAGTTTTAAAAGTACGGTAAAAACGTTCCACCAAACCTTTACTTTGCAGGTGATAAGTGATGGTATGGATTTTCTGACACCCTAAAAATTTTGTTACCTCCAAAAATAACCCGTATTGAAATTAAGTGCCTTGGTCAGTTGTAATTGTGTGTGGTACGCCAAGATGATAAATGTATCGTTTAAATAAACATTTAGCAACTGTTTCCGCAGCGATATTCGAAATTGGATAAGCTTCAGGCCATCTTGTGAATCTTTCTACAATCGTTAGGATATAACGGTAGTTGGACGATTGAGGGAAAGACCCTACTAGATCTATATGGATATGGAATCTTCCTTTAGGAATGGTAAAATTTTCAAGTAGAGATTTATTGTGTTTGTGTACTTTTTAACGCTGACAATTTAGACATGATTTTGCCCAGAGTTTGATGTCTGAATTCATGTGTGGCTAAAAATGTTTACTGCCTACAAGGTTTTTGGATGCTTTGATACCAGGATGACAGATATTGTGCAAATATCCATACACGCTGTATCTGAGGTTTTTAGGTATGTAAACTAGTGATAAGGTTTTAGCGACCACATTGGACTTTTTTTGAATATGACGTATGTCAGAAGTAAATTGAGCAATAAATTCTAAGGAACGAAATTGACGTGGGCTTTTTTCTGAAGAGAATGTAAGAGCTTTAGTAAGGGGTTTATAGTCGGTATAGATTGTAAAATCGTAGCCTTCTAGAAAATATCTAAAATGTTTGATGGATGCATAAATGGCTAACAGTTCACGATCGAGAGTAGATTATTTTCTTTCGGTAAGAGTGAGTTTCTTTGAAAAGTAAGCTATAGGTTGCCATATTTTGTTTTGCAACTGTTCTAGTACAGCACCCATAGAAGTATTGGATTTATCTACTGTCAAAAAAATATGATTAATCAGAGAAGGATGAATATGCACAATAGCATTGGCTTATTGATTTTTGACATCCACAAAACTATTTTCCAGTGGCGGTTTGCCCGTAAGGGCACTTGGGCACGTGCCCTAGTATAATAAACAAAAAAAAAATAACTTACATATTTTCTATTTTCTTCAATACCTAATATTATTTTATCTAATATTCAGCGCAAACCGCGTTGGCACGACACTGGACGACCGGGCGTTGAGCGACATTCCGAAAATTCTGAAATTAAGTGGGCACAGGACACAGTAAATGTGTGCCTCTGTTGATTTCTCTCTAATTATGATGCGAAAAACACGGACAACGGCAATATCGCTTAGCAAGAGATGAACACATGCGATGAATTATACGTCACAAGCAGGGCGCTGCCCTCCTTTCTCATCGTGACGTGCTGTACTCATGGCACAGATTACCTAGACCATATAGGTGCGCGTTTGTTGGACCATGATAATAATTTATTTATTGTGATTACGAAAAAACGTTAGTTGGACCTTCGGAATAGTTAAGAAATAAAACTACAAAGAACAATAACTTTTTTATAAAGCAGTCAAAAATATGATGAAAGAAAATCAATAATATTTATAAATGGGACAAAATTTTAATTTTTCTTTTGGTTTTGTCTGACTTTTTCGAGGATTTCAAATCTCTGTTTGCATATTTAAGAGTATAAAAAATTCTAAGTCTTATAAATAATTTAATTGCAAATTATTGGCAAGGATAACAAAATTCTATCTCAAAAAGGTATGCGTTGGAAATTCCAGGCTTAGTTGACAAACTATCAAATAGAGATATAAATATTTTTTCTAATTTGAAAATATAAAAGAGAAATTTGTTGCTGGGAGATTTTAAATTGCCAAACACCTTTTCTTCAGAGTCGTATGCTTTAAAATGTTCCTACATGATGTAATTTTACATCGAAGTGTGTCAATACTATTTATGTTTACAAAGAGGATGTGATTAAATGTCTCGAAGAAATTATGAACACAAAATTCGATAAAAAAACTATTAATCAAGACTAAAGGGTTGATAAATTTTGAAAGACAGATTTTAGTTTCTGGTTATTTTTCTTCAGCAAAATAATGCCAAATTGCGATATACTTTTTGATCAACTGCAGAGTAGACAGCTCGATGCTATCAAGGTTAAGATAAACATATCAAATTTTGCAACAGCTATTCAAAATATTAGAAATAATATAGACACGCTAATTCATGAAGAATGGCAATCACAACAAGACCCACAAGAACTAAACTTAAACGACAACACCTAATCAGGTCCAAGTACAAGCAAGAAGAGACGGTTTGTTGAAAAGGAGGACCCCATTCCTAATTTAAGAATATGTAAGGAAATTTGTGATACAATAGTAGTGCAGGTAAATGAACGTTTTAGTTTTACTACTCACCTAACAATTGCAAGTTTATTTGATAGTAAAAAATTTAAAGACTACCGAGGTTGTTTTCCAAATAAGGACGTTGAAACTGTGTGTAGTTTATTTCCAAACGTAAAGAGCTTAAAATTCAAATGTCCATACTTTACACCCGAGATGACTTTGTGCAACACAATGGGGCCGTACCGTTATTACAAATGTTTTTTGAGAACAATTTGACAATTACATTTTCGGGATCTGTGGAGCTGCTTACTATCCTGTGTACAATTCCCATGACCACAGTGGAGAGTGAAAGATGTTTTTCGACACTAAAACGTATTAAAACATTTTTCAGGAACACTATGTGCCAACATAGATTGTGCGCGTTAGCCATGTTATCCATCGAAAAAAAACTTATTCGGTCCATTCCAAATTTTAATTATCTACAGAAGGATGGACTTTAACTATAAGAAATAGTATACAACTGGAGCGGTACCTAGCAATTAGTCTTCAATTTTGTAATATTTAATTTGTTTTGAAATATATTTAATTTTCATTGAGCGGAGAACTTGTTTTCCTAAGGGAAAAACGAATCCCAGGATTCCTTTCCAGTGTGTGCCCCACTGCCGCTAGTGCTCACGAGCCGCCACTGCCATTTTCACATTTATCAGACCAATGGATTATAGTTTTATCGGTTCGGTTTTGTAATGTAGTTAATACTTCATATAGAAGTTGTGATAGAAGTTGGTCATTCCTTCAAAACATTGTAGTTGTTTGAGATTTTGGGGACGTGGAATAGTACTTTATGCAACAAGAGTGGATATGATGGCCATATCGCACGAAGACGAAATTTGAGCACGACGCCGTAGACACAAAAATATTTTTGGACATCTTTAACCTTAAATTAAAAAAGGCACACTTTATATCCCCATAGAATTAATTATTTTCGAAAAAAAAAATGGTTGTTAAACCAAATTAATGGTCCTCTGCATTGGTTGTTTATCTTAATAAAATTTTCTTCTTTGTCATTGTTTTTTTTTTACATATACCGATTATTAAATTACACCCAGTAATTTAAAAATTATAAAAAAAGCAATTGCCAGAAGCGTGTATTATGAGCCCGTTTCTTCCTATAAGGAGTATCGTAGGTCGTAGGAAATAGTTTCTACAACAAGTGAAAAAATCGACTCGTTTGAATTGTAACACTCATCAGGCGTTTCTGCCCGCTTTATGCGATTGTGAGAAAAGGTTTTTTTGCACATGTTGCACACTTTATATTTCTACTTATTTGCCATTTTTTGGGGAAAGAATTTTTTCATTTTGTTTATCACTAATATTTTTGATCGATTTTAGGAACTTATAATCCGGAATATTGGCTGAGACAAGGGAACCGTCGAAAAAGAACAACTTTAGAAGTTGCTAAACTAAACAAAGTAAAATTCAACAAGAAAGAAAATAATTACGGAAGAAACTTATCTCTTTGTTGCATTATAATTCAGAATAATATACGAATTAAATTTTAAATACCCACACTAATAAATCATTTAATAAACGTATTTCAGTTAACAAGCTATAATTTTAACATTACCTGATAAACATCGACAACTAAAATCGAGGATACAAAGATTAAGATAACGTGATTCATAATTTTATTGCACAAAAAACAATTGCTTATCACTAAAGGCAACAACTTAATGATTATTTGAACGAATCCATTTTGTACATTTACCCTTGCATAAAAAAAAAAACAAAATTAGTACCTACGTGTATATCAGTTAATATATTAATACAACATATTATACATTTTCTCATATAATGTCAATTGCATTGATGACCTGTCATTATCCTTGTTTTGTTCCGTACAATATAAATTTAATTAGAGCATCGTATAAGTAGGATGTTGTTTTAATCGTAAAAATTGATTATTTTGATATTGAAAATCCGAAACGTTCTCGAATTACTGTTATCATGTAGGTATTTTTTTTTAAATTACATTCTGCTTTGTTATTCTTTTAATAATTATATCCGCACACCTACTAATCAAGTGATCACTTAAGTATATAGGAAACATAATGTCCTAAGTCCATTTCTAGCAAATTTTACAGAGTTACCTCTTGTTCAAAGCATTTAAATCAGGATTAGCTATATAATATGATAAATTTTAAATTGATAGATTTATCTCATCCTTGCTTCAAAAGTGACATAATAACTCAGAATTCACATCTTTTGAGTTGATACCATGGGATTATGAAACAACTGCCTAACACTATCCTAATCCAGTGGTCGACAAACCACGACTCGCGAGCCGCATGCGGCTCTTTGGCTCCTTGAGTGTGGCTCTTCCACAAACTACAACGTGCGATCTCGCACATACAGTGCGATTGAAACTTCCTTATGGCTGCGTTTCTCAATTCTATTTTTTCATACTGTTATGTGAGCCATTTCATTATTCAGTCATGCTCTAATCCTCCAAGTCCCTCTCTGTCTTATTTGGCTTTTGAGGCTCAACTTGTCCGATTATGATACATAATTAAAACCCTTAAGACCAAACATATGTGACGACTATGGCGGAGGCACTTTCGCGAACATTCCTGAGTCAACGTGATAATGTTCCTGGTAAATTCCGGATATGAGATGTTTTGGTGGAGGACCATTCTGGAATCACCAATTTGTATATAAATATTGGTGGAGGATCAACAAAAGGTCATTAGTAGATAGACAGTGGTGAATATAAATAGTGAACGATTCAAAGACATTCGAAATATATATAAATTAAAATAGTAGTGTTATAAAATAAATAAGTGTTTAAATAAATTATTAATAAATAAACTGCTGTTTTAAAATAAACAAACATCACAATACTTTATGTTTATGTGTTTTTATCTTTAGGCGAGTACCTACTAACTTTTCCAGAAGTATAAAATGTCAACGTGTATCGGACAATATATATTACTTCTGAGCGCGTATCCCCGCAAGAAAAACTAGAATTAAAGTAAAAAGCTGCAGCCCTGCAGTAAGCACTTTCATCTGCCTCTATATATCCGAAGCGCTTTGCCTTTCCTCCAAGGTTCCATTTTGAATTAGAGGAAGTGTGCCTGAAATGGCATACTTTTTTTTTTGAATACTATAATTTTTTTTCTTTATGGCAAAAAAAATAATTTTATGTAGGAAATATATAAATAAGATATAAATAAAGCAAGTTTTCTCAGAACTTAAACAATTTTTCTATTAGTAAACAAAAAAATATATATTTAAAAAAAAACATAGTATGCCATCTCATGAAAGTAACTATTGATAAGATGGCACAGTAATAATAAAAATATGAAACTACCTACAAATTTGAACATTTTTGTCTTTCTGCCTACCCCAACACATTCTGGATGAGCCCATTTCTTACAGGTGTGATACTGGAACCATAGTTCCCTTGATAGAGACCAGGAGTAAAGTTCATTACAATAAATACTCTAAGTCCTCCTCATCTAGGTCAAAATCCTCGATCTGCTCATCTTTATCCTCATCCTCTATAACATGATTCTCCGACTTTCTTAGAACCATTTCTTTTTTGTGAATCCTCGCCCTGTTTAATCTCTCTACCAATTTTCTTCTTGACATTTTTCGCCGCCTTTCTCAGCATCACTTATTTCTTTTGTATTACCTCATTTTTCAATTTTTCAATTTTAGGGGTTGTTGTTAGATTCCCATATGACCTTTTTTTCTTTTTCGTCGCACAATCTCTGCGATTTTTGGCATTGGTGAAATTTCATCAATTGATAGGTCAAGATTTGTTCTTGAAAACAGGGGCGGCTCGTAACCAAAATTTTGGGGGTTCACAGTAGCAGAATATAGATCCCGGTACAGATATAAGTAAAAAACTGTCAGTGTTTTAGAAAGAAACTTTCTAAAACACTGAAAGTTTTTTCATTAATCTATACTGATACCTATATTCTGTCACTGTGAATCACCTTATGAGCCGCCACTTCTTGGAAACATGTTCTGAGACCATGATGAAGGACCTTGCAAAACTAAAGTTTCATTGATATTTTCTTTAGAGACCTTGATTGATTGGAGACTTGGTACCGAGTTTGTCATGACGTTGACTTCATCTATTTCTTTTAAATGACCAACTTGTATTTGATTTTCATCCCGATTGTCATCCTCTTTAGCGTTAGTTACTTCTGTAGCAGCAAACATCCAATCGGGGAAGATGTTATCGTTAAATAGTGTTATGCCGGTCGCGGAAAATCGACTTAGAGCGTTGGGAATGGTTGCTGCTTTAATATACGCTGCGTTAAATAAAGAAGCCCATTGAAAATGAGTTACTACACGCCCCGGGTGATTTTTAAGCCTATTAGTTAATTCTTGATTATAGTAAGCATTAAGAGGACCAAAAAGCTAACGTCCAACGGTTGTACCCTATAAGTACAATGCGGAGAAAACCAAAAAAGAAATATGCTATTTTCTTTGGCAAATACAAGTACGTCTAAAATTTTGTCTCCATCCAATAACAGATAAGTTCTGCATCAACTTTATTTCGCTTTGATGGTTTGGTATATTTTGTTAAGTGCTTCAACCATTTAGGAAATATGTCACTGTTCATGTAACCTTCTTCCTGGGTAAATGCCACAGATCCAACAGGTGCTCCATCCATTCATTCAGCTTTCCTGTTTTTTTTTTTTTGAAATATGAGAGCAGGGGGGAGATATGTCCCTGCTGCGTTCATACAACAAACCGTGGTTAGTCGCTGACCTCGGTCAGTAGTCAGTACTACTTAAAACGCCTACTTGCTTTCTGCCTTTGGCCAAAACTTTTGTATTCTTCGAAGGAACGGTAGTGATACCCGATTCATCCATATTCCAAATATCATTCTGCAGAAATGTATGTTGATCAAACACTCCAGAGCTAACGGGGATTCTCATAGCAGCAAAAGAAATAACCAGAAATAATATCACTGGAAGGAACATGCTCATCTATACAGATAGCAGACAAGCACTACTCACCCTGAACAGACCACGAATTTATTCAGGGTTAGTACTAGAAGGTCATGAAGCTTTGGCCGAAGTATCCATCAACAATGTGGTCACCTTAAGATGGATCAAAGGTCACGCCACATCGAAAGGTAACCGTTTGCCGATTCACTAGCCAAGAAAGCAGCCAACCAAATACTTTTTGGACCTGGCCCTTCTATTGGCCTGACAAAATCGGTAGTGACAGACCTAATTAAAGAACATTCCCTTGTGAAATTCAAGAAAATATGGGATGAAACAAGAAACTGCAGAGTTGCCAGGGAGCTCTTAAGTTATCCTGATAACACTACAGCAAACAAATACTTGACTATGACTAGACAGAATCTGCGTCTGGTCACAGGCATTCTGACTGGTCATTGCCAAGTACGGAAGCATCTCCATATCATGGGGCTGTCAGAATCCGCACTCTGCAGAGGGTGCGAACAAGAAGATGAGACCATTGAACATATCCTTTACGATTGCCCGACGCTCTCATTTATTAGAAGATTTGTGTTCGGCGAGTATCGGCTAACACCGGCTGATATAATAGAAGCACCTCTTGGCGACGTTGTCAACTACATTAAATCTGTAGGCTGGCTGATGAGCTAGGAGGTGCCTATCATCTTAGGAGGATGCACAATGGGCCTAATGAGGCCTAAGTGCCGTGGGGGTAACTCGCCCTCCACTCGTTACAGATACAGATACAGAAACACTCCAGAAAGCATTTGAAAATATTTGTCAATTTGCACTTTGTTAAAAGCTCTAGCTCGAGCCGCAGAAGTACTTTCAGGTGATCGTAAGGATATTGTTGGATTACGTTGACTGAAACCTTTCAATCAGGTCCACCCAGCCATTTTAGTTTTAGTAGCAAATCGATGAGGGATTTGTTTTGCTTCCATCATTTGAGGTGCCAGTTTGCGGACGTCATCCATTGTTAGTCCAAAAACATGGATTCCATTTTTTTAATGTGTTGGACCAGTTCATTTTCTAGATTTTCATTGAATGTGGTTTCGTGACTTTCTATGTTACCTTTTTTTCAGCCTTCATTCTTACGTTCTTTTGTAGCGACCCATGTCTTAAAAAAAAATATTTTAAATTATTAATTGAGTTGCTGGGATGGCATACCATCCCATTTTATAAAAATTGTTATATGCCATCTTATAAATTTAATGACTATTTTAAAATAACACATTTTTTGCTAAAAACCATTTTAAACTAGATATTTGATAACCTAGATATAATCTTGAATAAATTCTCTATCTGAAAACTATAATAACTTACCTTCAAGTAACTTCCGTGGCCCAACAAACTATTTGCGAACGACACATTAAAATATTTTGGGTAAACAAAAATGTGACAAACGTACCTTTCGACAACTCAAAAGTAACTGATCTGCTTCCGATTAACGCAATAGTGTATTTGAGCGGGTGGCTTTAAGGGGGCGCAACAAAATGCGCGTAATTCAAAATGTATGTACATTAAAAAATATCGACTATGCCAACTCAGCAAGTATGCCATCTCAGGCACAATTCCCCTACTTTCCAAGCCTGTTGAGATTGTGAAATTGACATTTTTTATTTCAAAACACTTTTAAATATGATACATTCTAATTTTATTAATAAATAATATCGTTGTTAGGCATTAAGTTTTATTTATTTACAATTTAACTAAGACTTAAGAGTTTAAAGTTTATTAAGTTAATTTTAGGAAAACGTTGTGAAGTAAAAGAAAATGCAGTTTCAAATATTCAAAAAGGTATGTTGAGATGGTTTGGATACACAGATTTGGAATAGTATATTACACACCGAGGTGGGAAGAGTTTCATTCCTGTCGTGAGATTAGTTAGATCACCGAGACGCGAAGCGTCGAGGTTAGCTATGATCTCGAGACAGGAATGAAACTTCCTACCAAGGTTTGTATACTATTTTATTTGCAACCATCATATTTCGATCAAAGTTAATAAATCTCTGTTTTGTTCTGAACATACCTAAAATATTACATTTAACGACAAAATACCAAGCGCGCGGTTTTCTTAGAATAATCAAGTAAATATATTGTTACTGTGATTACGGGGCAAACAACTGTCACCAATATAAATAAATGTCAGATAAAGCCGGATATTAAATTCGCGAATAATAAATATCAATAAGTAATTTGTTACATTTTAGTTCATTGTTGTTTTTTATTGTTTGCCATTAAATAGGGATTATAAAAATTTTTTAAATATAAAAAATATTCATCTAGAATAATAGATAAAATGAGGGCGGGAAGTGAGGGCGGGAAGTAGAGGTGTGTAATGTGACACTTCCCAACCCTTAATAACGTTAGTAATGACAACATTACACATATGGTTGTAAATTAAAAATTATACGAGCCATACAGTGTAGGTACGCCCATATCTATTAATTGCAAGCAAATCTTCGTTTTTTTTTTAACAGTTTTGCGAAATTATAACGCATCGGCAATGTCAAATTGAAAACTTTTTAAAATACATTTTTTTTGTCGACAAGTCAACTTTTTCATTGCATAACTAACAGTCCGGAGACATTGTGTTTGAAAAAATAAACATTTATGTGTTCCGACTTGTACACAGTATCAAAAATTAAATGTTTGCACTGGTATTTTAAGGGACCACATTATTGGCCCTTTTTCATTTCATAGTAAACGTAACGGTCAAAAATATTAAAATTTAATTCAAAATCAAGTTATTTTTTTCACTTGCATATATTTCCTAATTCTAGAATCAGAGGATTACGTAAAATTTGTATTTATTTAATTAGAGAGAACGATACCCCACAATGCATATACGAGGTGTGGCAGAAAAGCAATAAGACTGATTTTTTACTTTACAAAGTTTTTATTTCTTTCAAACATCAATGTTATCTTGTTATCCCCTTCAAAGTAGTTCCCTTGGGCAGCTACCACCGATGGAGACGTTGTTCCTACTGTTTGTAACAGCTCTGGAAGTCTTCAACCGTTATGGTTTTCAGCATGTCCGTTACAGTCTTTTGGATGATTTCTAAAGTCCCGAAATGACGGCCTTTAAGGACATTTTTCAGTTTAGTAAAAAGAAAGAAGTCATAGGGACTGAGGTTAGGGGAATAAGGGTGATGTGGAACCACAGGAATGCCTTTGGAGGTCAAAAATTCTGTTATGGAGAGGGCAGTGTGACATGGGGCGTTGTCACACTAAGTAGGTACCTAATTTACATCTTTTTACTCCAAAAAAAAATTAACTATTTCTATATAATAGACCGTCAGATAGTGACTGATTTAGGTGCCCCATTTTCGCATACAAGCCTCGAAGAGGGTTGAAAAGTACATCGATTTTGAGCAGAATGAAAGGAAATTTACGAGTGGCCCCTGGGAATAAAATATGGAAAATTCGATGTTCCTTAACAGAAATAAAAGGTGTTTTTTAATCATTTTTCCACGCAAGCCGTTTTCACTACATGATTAATTAATAGAACTAGGCTTCGAAAAACCGAAGGCTTTAATGTTGTCAGTAGCTAAAAGGTTGAAATAAGGGCGTAATCTTGTAAAGAAAAATCGATATTTTAACCAATTTTTCCACACAAGCCAATCGATAGTATGAAAACATACATCGTAACTAGCCCGAAAAACATATTGGCTTGAGTGGCGCGAGTGGATAAGTCCATTTTGAGGTTGGAAAATTTAAAAGAAATTTTATTCGATTTTTTAGTTATTTTCCCATCAACGAAATTTTTTGCAATAAAAACTTATGAATTTAAGAGCACAGAAAAAAATAATGGCTTGAGTGCAGAGCGTGGTTTTCATATTTGCAGAACATAGGAAAGTTGCTGGAAAAATGTATGCAAATTGCCACAATTTTCTCACACAAGCCGTTTGACATATGCTTAGAAAAAGT